TAAAAAATATTTAATTTATCAAAAGCAAGCCCTTTACTTTTGAGGTGGGATTTGTTTGCAAAAACTAAAGTCAAATGTTGAAACCAACAGGGTCTATAATCAAGAGATTTCTTTCTATTAATCTTGCCTTGAACCAACAAAGCATGCAAACACTACAGTCAGTTCCTCACAGAACTGAATTGGTGTAGTCTGTACACCAGGCAGAACTGACACATTAACATGAGGTTCCTGGGGGGGGGGGAATGCCTGAATATGTAAGCTGATGACCTCATTATGCAAATGCAGTAATTTACAGTTGTGTGAAATGTTAGGCTCCAAATATATAAACAGGGTGCATTAAAAGGACAATATTCTCCCCTTCACTTGTTATCATTTTAGATCATGATGGTTTGCTGTGGATGTGACTAAAAGCTCAGTGAGTTTTTTGATTCCTAAACTTAAACTAATGAAAAATGCAAGATCACCATAATCACCCGTTTTAAACTTGCCATTTTGAATGATATCAGAGACTTCGCTAACTCTGAATAAGCCTAATATTGTGTCAATTAATGGCAATTTCGTGGAATATTGGGGTGGAGTGGTGGCTAAATGTCCTTGTTTCATTTTTAAACTTTCTTCTATTTCTGTAAGCTTACTTTAATCTATAGCCTATGAAAATTTGCTGAACTTGTATTTATTTTTCCTAGCCTATTATTCATGAACTTTTCTTCTTTTTTATATATTATTCTGAAATTTTCAAATGATATATACTAGCTTTTTTCATATCTCCCCCCAGATGAGTCTGGAGTATTTTCCAATGGCAGTATAGACTAGGCCTTAATGGGAGAGCACTTGGCATATGAAACCTGGGCTACAAGAGAAGCTAAATAAGAGGCTTTTTTTAGAGTCATGACTTCCCTGAAGCTAGGGACCTAATTTGGATAGATGGTGTTGTGTCTTACATTTAACAGGATCATTGGGCATAGAAAAGTACAATTTGATATAGAAAAGACACATTCCTTCCGATTCCTTTTTTCCCAGAGATTTAATAATCTAATAATAATTTCAGGAGACCTAATGATTAAAGGCTTCAAGCTAGAAATTGGGAAACTATAAATTTTTAAGCCTTAAGCACAAAACCAGCTGGGTAACTTTGGGTTACTCGTGTTTTCTCAACTCTAGGAAGCAGGCAATTGCAAACCATTTTTGAAAAACTTTGCCGAGAAAACTACAGGGACTTATCCAGACAATCTCTGAAAATTGAATGTGATTGAATGGAAGAAAAAAAATATACTTTCTGTAGCAAAAACCAGAGTTTCCCTTACTGGCTTAAATATTAACCTACTAATTATTGTCTTACCCTAACCCACTTCTTTAGGTATATGAAAAATATCCCATTTATTTCAATGTACATCCGTAAGATATGAGTAGATGTCAGTAAGACATCTATATCATTATACCTGATACATCCTTTTAACATTCACAATATTGTATTCCTGAAACAGACTTCTTGGGACATATTCTTGAACCTGCCACTGTGGTAGTTACATGTAAAATTCTGAACTCAGGTTAACAAAGCACAATTGTTATATTCACATGATAAACTCATACAATATAAATCAACCTTATTGTAGCCAGGCATTATTGGTCTAGAGTTATTTTGTTGCAGAGAATACCTGCTTTGACAACTGATGCACCATTTAAACAGTGGCAGAAGGCTATATCTAAATCTGTATGGCAGGGGGAAACTATGTTAAATATAGGATGTTACAAGATGCAAAGGAAAGATTGGATATACAGATTTGAAATTGAATTTTGCAGCTTCTTGTTTGGTTTGGATAAAAGAGTGGTTACTACTGAGAAATAGAAGGCGCTTAGTGTTAGAAAACCTGAGATTTAGGTAAAGTGAATATTCATGATACAATAAAGTAAGAGCTAATATTGATTGTTTTAAAAATGCCATACTGAGAATGTAGAATAGATACAAATACAGATTTGACTGAAAACACATTGTGGCTCTCAGCAGAAGCAGCTTTTTATAGATTAGAAATACTAGGCAAAAATAAATGGGAAACTCATTGTGAGATACTAGAATTTTGTCAAGGGGAATACAAAATAAAATCAAGAGAAGAACTGGTGATAGAGACCATTGCCAATGGTTTTCTTATTTATTTATAGCTATTAGGAAGATTTAAATTAGATAAGTGTTTATCTTGAAATTCTAGAGCAAAAGTAGGGCACAAATCCAACAAATGAATTATATCTCTAATGAACACATTCTATTTCTTTAATATGCTTCATACTCTTATATTTAGATTAAAGTGACAGAATAACAGAGTTGGAAGGGATTTTGGAGGTCTTCTAGTCCAACCTCCTGCTCAAGCAGGAGATCCTATGCAACTCCAGACAAATGGCTGTCCAATCTCTCTTCTTAAAAACCTCCATTGATGGGGCATTCACAACTCTCTTATCCCATATACTTTGCTTCTGTATTTGAACCAATGGAAGAATCTTTACGTACAAGAGAAGATTAAATAGCACATTTTCAGCAAATATCTAACTGATCATGCTCAATGAAAATAAAGGTGCAATTAAATAATTATAGCCCAGTTAACTTTATGCTGATAAGTTCATGATAATAAGTTACAACTGTTTCATCACCTAGTCCCATTTCTGATTTAAAAAATCTCTATAAATTAAATCTCACCTTCAGTGGATTTTAAATCCTTAGTATATTCAAACACTGATTTAAAAGGGTCATTTATTTAAAAGTGTTATCTTGTTTCCTTTAGCCTGTTGTGTCTTTAGTCTTGGAAGCCTTTCTTTTAGCTGACAATGAAGTAAATTTACTAGTATTTTATAAGACCAATTGCTTTACTGAATTCAGATTCCAATAAATGTTTAGAAATTAATTTCTGCAAACTTCCAAAGATATCTTCAAAATGCCATTTCTCTTTTAATACATTCAATATATAATTATTTTCAGGCATGTTTAATCATAGTAAATTGAACGTGAATTTGCTAAAGATTGTATCCTAATCCCAAGAAAAAAGTGGTGGACTAGTAAAAACTGGTAACTGTCTGAGCTATTAATTCACACATCAAAAAGCAGCATTATAGAACTGGATTAATTCATGTTATATATCAAAGAAAGAAATTAAGCAGAATCATGTCTCATTTTGGAGTTATTCTTTTCTCTGTTGCATATATCTTGGCTGCAAGATATTTCATGAAAGCTCAAGGCAAAGGTAAATTAAATCAAATCCTAATTTGATAATAAGGCACAGATTTGGTAATTTGGTAATAAGGCACAGATATCAAACAAATGTATGCATATTTTCCATTTATTGAGAAAAAAAGATTGGAGGAAATATTAACTTGCATTCATAAAATAAAAAAGTGCAAATAACTATGAAGCAGTCAGGCCTCCTCAACCAAATCAACAGTAATTAATGGTTGAAACAGTAACTTTCTTCTTGAAATAATTTCTACAATTATGCCAGTTGTTAGGAAATAGGAACTATATCAAAACTAAGCAGTGTTGTCCTGTCTGGCCTGCCTGGCTCATGAATGCAATAATGGAAAACCCAAGAGACTCATTTTTTTCTATCACAGCAATTACATGAAAGCAACATTAGTCTTGGATCTCACTTGGAAAGATCCAATGTTGCATGGAAACGGGTAGCTTCAACATTAACAGAAGGAAAAATGGAGATTCAGTCAACAGGTTGGTTGCAAGCCAGGGAAAGATGCTACTACTCAAAATATAAGACATTCCCATTCCTCTGACATACCACTGGACTAAGGGAGTAATAGATGCCTAGCAAAAAGATATCATGTATAAAGTTTTTTTTATCTGTGCTTTATATATGAACTAGTGCAGGGGTGTCAAACTGCCGGCCACGGGCCGGTTTCATCATACCGGAGCCGCGCCCACCCCATTGCCAGCAATGGCAAAAAAGCTCCGATACGTTGCACGATGTCATGTGACGTCGCGAGTTTGACATGTCTGAACTAGTGTTTGGAGCAGTGTTTCTCAACCTTGGCAACTTTATAAGATACATGGACTTCAATTCCCAGAATTCCCCAGCCATGATGGGTTAATGTTGAAGATCTATCAATGTATTATAGTCCTGGTTCTGACTTGACTCAACAACTGTAAAAGTCAACAAAAATAATTATTTTATTTTTCCAGGATTGGGTCACAATAAACAGATAAAAAGGGTACAAAACAAATGTATTCTTTCTCATCTGAGCAAATATAGAACAGCTATTTTTCCTTAAAAAGAGGAGAAAAATGAAATGTAGCACTTTTGGGGCGCTTAACATTTTTGTGAGAAAATGTCACTTAATAAAACTGGACCACTGATGTTTTATGCATGTTATCAAAAATATTATTACATTACATTATTAAATATTAAGTTTAATAAGTCAGTGGTGTGGGTAATAGGAATAGGAATCATAATGTGCATGGCTATCCGCTTCCTTGGAATAAGATAGGGATGGTAAAATACATTTTAATATGCATCATAATGGAATTTATCATGCATTTGTTTTGAGCTTTCTAGATAAAATTGTATAGAAATGGAATGTTCTAAGCAATCTCAAAGTTTATGAAAGTTGCTTTTACTCAAGCAGTTTTTTTATTTGCAATTAGGATTCTTAGCAGGTTAGTTTCACCAGCTTATTATAGCAATTAATGCTATATTATTGGGTATTTAGCACACCCTGCAGGACAAGAGAAGTACTCCAAATAATTCTTATTACCTGTCATGCAAATAATAAGCATGGGACATATTAAATAAAATTCTGAAAACTTAATTCTTCTTATATTTTTAATAACTGCTTGTAAATTTAACTTTATATTCTAATTTATGTAAGTTTCTTTTATACATGTTAGTGACAACTAAAGAAGACATGTTTCTTTTTTGCTAGTTATTTTTATGAGGAATCTTAGTTCCAAATGTAATGAAAACAATAACAACCCCAAATCTGAAAAGTATATTTTCTTGAGTATAATATTTGGCAAGAACAAAGGACTGTCCATAATTTTTTAATCAATTAAGTTACACAAAACAGAAGCAAAACATTGGAGTATACCTGTTCAAGAGTTCCAGATCCTGCCAGCATTACAGATGCCTTATTTTGAACTGGTAAATTCAGGCACAGAGATGTAAAGTTCCACATTCTGATCAATATATACAGTACACTCAGCATGTTTAACATTTTTGTGTGAAATATGAACAATTGGTATCTTCTAGTCCTCAGAGCTTTCAGCATACATTTAAGAGAGATTTTTCAAGTATATAGGGCACAACTAGAATATTACAAATACAAGACATTCTGTACTGCTGGCTTTATAACGCTATTTATTCGACACTGGCTATGTCTCTTCTAAAGTGGAAATCCCTTGTATCATACTTTGTAATTAAAGAATAGCTTCTTTTCATCATGTCTCCTACTGACATCTGTAAACAAAACAAAGCAACAACAAAAGCCAACCAGGAATTTTTTAAAAAATGTGAGCAACCTGAAAATAAAAAGACTGAAAAAGGACTTTTTCATAGTCAGCAGATTGTGAAATGTATTTTGTTTAAAGCTTTTTAAATCCACTTGACACTCTATTATCAAGGGAATACCTAGAAACATTTACAATGTGGTGCCATTTGGCAGTTGAGGGCAGTTTGGCTTTCAGTGGTAGCTAATTGGGCTACAGTGCATCCTTCAATAATAGTTTGGAAGAAATATTTCAGATCTTGTACAAACTCTGCACTTACTATTCGGAAAAACAGACTTTTTTTCAGGCTTCTGTAGAGACATGAAACAAAATGGCTATTTTAAAGGATTGATTCATTAACATTAACATGATTCTTAAAGCAGCCACATTGCTTTTTAGGCTCATATGCAAGAATTAAATAAATTGAGCTACTTTAGAAAATAGCAGAAAGATGCTATAAGGGTATAAGGTCTGAATTGTTTCTGTAATTTGCATAGCCCTAATAAAGAATAGTAAGTCAGTAAGCAAGCAAGTAAGTAAATAAATAAATAAGTAAATGAATAAATAAGGAGTAAAGTATCTACCACAATGTATTAAGGAAAATCATTGTGACTTTGAATGACGTACTAGGAATTATAGTTGAGTTCCCAAGCTGTGTGCTGTTAACAAACTCACAGGGGCATCATTTATTTGCAAAGTTGGGGTTTGCAACGTGTAATATTTATGAAGCTGATTTTTTTGGCAGTTGCTCTGAAAAAAAGCAGGTATTGTGTGAAAATCAATGTGGAACAGGAAATGAGGGTGGAGGTGTCCAATCTGATTCCAAGATTTGAGAAGTTGTGTGCCCAAACATGCACAGATTCCTTTAGTAATTGTGGTTATTTAAAAATAATTTTTAAAAAAACATTGGAATTTACTTGTATTTTTTTTTCAAATGACTATTAAGTTGATAGGACATAACACCTTACTGTTTGAACCTAACTACTTAATAAATGAAATTGTTAAATATTTCTTTTGGTCTAGAGCTGCCTTGAAATAATTACCGTGACATGAATAGCGCTGTGAGTCAAGAAAGTTTGGAAATCTCTGGTTTAGGGTTATTTAAGCAAAATACAGTTCTATCAATCAGTTACTGCCATGGGAGCGGATGGGAATGAAATAAGCATTCAATTGTTGCAACAATCTCTCGAGATTCATGAGGAGAAAAAAGGCAGAATTCATGTTTCTTAACAAGATAAATATACTCAAGCAACTTTAACAACACTTAACAGCAACAGTTATAAATGTATACATTTGTGACTAGGACAATACAAGCTTATATCCTCTCAACCGTTGAGAAAACTGTAACAGTATTTGCAATTCCTTTTCCTTCTGGTCAATAAAGAAGTCAAGGTAGCTTAAACCAATATAAATATTTCTTTTTAGAATAATTTAAAGTAATTCATCCATTGAAAGAATGCACAGATATTTTATACATTTTCTACAAAACCATACATTGGCAATTAACATTAAGAAACATTATTTCACTAAGCTTAAAGGCGTTGTTCTGAAAGTGTCCCTACTAAAAAACCAAACAATTCAGAAAGAAAGCTGAATATTTGAGATTATTTTTTAACATAAATTAAAAGTACAGATCAATTTGAACAAGTTTACTGTTTTAGATCTATATGCATGCACAAAAATCTAATGTGGAAAATGACTAACAATTTTATTACTTCATGTTTAAAACTTTTCGCTGTATTTCCAGATGCTTTATGCCAGCTGAAATTCCTAACACGCTTTTCTATGACTCATTTATTCCAATGTGTTCACTAGTGACTGTATTTTAGAAATACAATATATGTAATTGTCTCATGAATTAGAGGAATTTTTCACAGAATGAATATATTAACAGGGAAGGCATCGTGCTAGATTTCAGATATCTGTAGTATCTGAATAATTCCCTAAATATAAAGTATATATTTCTGCTTCCAATGCCCCCGTTTGATTATTCTCCAAGACAACCATTCAGAAAGTTCATACCGCAATCTGTCTCATGAGCCATTCAACAAGCAAATGATAACTTCCCTTTCCGAAAAGGGAAATTTTATATAAAAATTTCTGCTTCCACCTCTAGCGTCATGAAAGTGTGGCGTGCTATCTCTTCAAAGTCTCCTTGAGCATGTCAGTTTGGAACTGAGAACTTTATATAGTTCAGCTTTGATAAGCTGGAGTATAGTCTGGCCGCCTAGTATTAATAATTTTTGGCTTTGGTTTCTTGACTACTTCCATTGCTTCGTCTGACTCAAGTTCCTCATTGCTTTCACATACATGGACCACCACGCTAGGAGTAGTTTCAGTTGCAGCATGAAGTTCATACTGATCTCCTAAAATGTATTTAAAAAACAGTAAGTGATAATTGTAAGTGATAATTGTACACTTAATAACACATACAATTTCCCAATTGAATTTATTGCACATTGCCATTGGTTAAAAAAGTCGCAATATGATGTCGTGTATAATATCTAGCTGCTTGGCTTTCTGAATCCAGAATGCTGCTTCCAGACTTCCAATGGCGAATTCAGAAATATCTAACACCTTCTCAATTTTGATAGAACAAAATATTCTCTTTTATTACTTCTGAGTAAAGAATTGCATTAAAACTGACTGAATTAATTTTATTTATCATATGAATCTCATTTTTTCTTTCCCCCCTCCCTTTATGTTTGGTTTATTTTAATCGAAGTAACCTATGTTACTGTATTATAACTGATGCATTATTTCACCTTTTGTTTGTTTATAAAAAAATAGGTCAAAAGAAAGTTAAGGATTCCATTGCTAGTTCCTGATTGTTTCATTCCTTAATCCTGTTCCTAATTAATCCTTTTAAATTATTCTAAACATAAATATAATATGACTTCTAGGGTCATATATACCTTGAAAATTATTAAATTTTAAAGGAGGATTTATTTATTTACCTTAAGCTTTTAACCATTTTTAAAGGAAGTTACACAGGAAGATAAAAACATTATGGAAAATCTTTTTACTGATGCATTCTCCTTTTCCCATCCATTTGTTCCCCCAATCTAAATATGTTTACTACACTTTGAATATTTAAGGTTATTGCTTGTATCTAAAACAAAAATGAATGAATGATATCTTGAAAATGATTTAGAAGTATTTTGGACCAAGCACAATAAATTTCTGCTAAAGTAGTCCAACACGTTACCATGTTCTGCATGAGCCTGAATAAAATACAGGTATCTTCTACTTACGATTGGTCGCTTAGTGACCATTTGAAGTTATGAAAGATCCTCTAAAAAGTACTTATGACCATATTTGAAATTCTGATGGATGCCCCCCCCATGGTAAGGAGACCACATTTTGGGAACTTGGCAACCAGTCTGCATTTTCGACCATTTATAGCAGGGGTCTTCAAACTTGGCCCTTTTATGACTTGTGGACTTCAACTCCCAGAATTCCTCAGCCAGGCACACTGGGTGAGGAATTCTGGGATTTGAAGTCCACAAGTCATAAAAGGGCCAAGTTTGAAGACCCCTGATTTACAGTGTCCCGCAGTATGTGACCATTCAGTTTCCGCCAAAACACCCCTATAACGAACAATGGGTTCACTTAATAACAACAGCATTTGCTTTATGAGCACTACATAAAAAGATTGTAAAGTCAGGTCGGTCACGTGATGACCTGCTTAATAACTGTCATTACAACCATAATTGCTGGCTCAATTACAGTTGTAAGTCAAGGGCTACATGTATACAACCTCTTTAAGCATTGCATGTTCTTTTAATGGATAATGGAGCAACTTCTTAGAGCAGCATTTTTCTCCAAAACTCACATGGAAATCAAGAATAAAATTCCATGCTTTATGAGCATACATTTTACACATCCCCCATATAGAGAGAGTAATATTATTAAATTAAATAGGAAAAAATAACATGAATTTGAGTTATTAAGAATTCAGATTTAAAATGTCTTACCTGGTCCTAATTTGGAAATTGCGTATAAAAGATCATAATTAATAGCAGGTGTAGCGTCATCTGCTTGTTCCCAACCAACAGGAGGAGACGATGGAGGAGAGATCAGGAATTGTTTCTGTGGATCAGGTGGTGCTAAGTGTGTATTTCCAATATACAATCTCTATAAAGTTATAAAAATGCATTCTTATGTTTATGCTGGCAATTATATGACATGAAAACGATGGCATGCATATAGTTGGGCTGCTTTGCACATCATCTCACTTCTATTTATAAAAAAGAGACTGACCATTTTTTAGGCTTTTGTACAAGTTTGAAAGAGAGATGCCACTGCTTTTAAGGAATCTACTCATCAAAATGATCCTTACAGCAGTGGCAACTTTCTCTTTGTGTGGAAAACTAGAAAAGATCAGGCTCATATAATGTTGCCAGGCTATTCAGAGATTGAGTATGGAGAAGGCAATAAATACTGAAGACATAAAAGAACAGAATCCTCACATTATTAAGATCAAGAATAGAGCATCATAACTTCAGTTAAAAACCTGACTAAAATGTCAAAAACATAAAAGGTTTGAGCATTCACACCAAATCATAATTAACGAGAAAAGGTTATGTAGGTTTTATGCAGCAAAACAAATACTTTGAACTTGACTTGGTAACAAGACCGGCAGTTAGTCCACTTTCTTTAAGCAGATATGTTCAAGCAATTTCATTTCCTTCAGTCTTTAGTACTCAGCTGTGGCATCTGGGCCAACTTTATAGACTGCTTCATGTAACGTTCACTGTAATTAATCTCATCTTCAGGTTAACAGCTCACAGATCAATTGGCCAAGTCTAAAACTAAATCTTGATGTTGTTCTGAAAAGTTACTCTTTTCCTCTTGTCCCTATGTCGATAATGACTACTCCAAGAGCAACCACAGACTCAGAAGGAATGCAACTCTGTCAAGAATGGGCAATCTCTCTAATTTCATAGGACTTCTGGATTTCATAGTACCTTCATCTTGTTTTCATTCAGCATCAGCTTACTGGCGCTAACTCAAGCTACCATTGCATCCAGATGCTGATCAAATGACTGTATACTACCTTTGTGCTTACATAATCAAGAGAAGCAGAACTGGGCATCATCATGATAGCTCATTTCAAATCTCAATATATTTTGGCCAACTATTTCAAACAGATATTAACTATTGTTAAGAATAAAATATAACCATGCAGAAATTCACAGCTTAACTGTCCTGTGGCTGAAGTATTATCACCCAACATTACCTTCCATATTGAATAACTTTGTTGTAAGAACTAGGCAAATGCAGTTCAAAAACAAATGCTAGAATAATATTAACCTCGAAACCTGACCTTATAGGTACAAATGGCACATCACAAAGCTGTTCTAGAAGAATGTCATATTAACCACTGAGACTGAGGAAGATCAAGAAGAATGGGAGACATTATAAGTCAAGATGGCAAAGACTGATTCAGCTCCACAACCAGCCTGCATACTAAGGGTTGCTGATTATGCTATTTGTAGAAGAGGCTTGTCCTCTCCCATAGCAAGCAACTACTATTAGCAGTTAGTAATGGAAATTACAGGTCAGTATCTTACGTGTGCTTATTCAGAGGACAATTCAAGCTAGAAAAACAATTCCAAGAGCAAAATAGCGATTACTTCTGATAAAGCATTTTGAAGTAGATCACCGGTATCAACAGACAAAGCACATATATTGATACATCTTTTGGTTATAGCAGATTTACATTTTAAAAAGCATTCTAGATTACACGATCCCTTAGCAACTGATGCAGTACTGACCACCACCCCCCAACTTCATAGTATAGGTGACATTTGTTTCCCATAATTTGGAAATGGAGTCTAAACAATATTATCTGTAATGAACATTTTTGCATACGTACAAAATGTGACCTGTGGTAGGTTTTTTGTTATTTTTCTATTTATTTGAGCTTTTGACCATATGTAATTTACTTTTTTTACTTATTGCCTTTGTTCTTGTATTTTAATATTGCATTTTATTACTTGTGTTACCTAAAGAATATGTGTTCTTAAGTAGCCTATATAAAAACTAAAACATTCAGGTATACTTATGTCCTACTTTAAATCCTGAGGTGGAGTGATGAAAATAATACTTTGATCACATCAAGCTCAATTTTCCTATTTTTAAAGACATTTTATGGAAATGTCTGAATTGCTAAACAACACACACACACACACACACACACAGAGAGAGAGAGAGAGAGAGAGAGAGAGAGAGAGAGAGAGAGAGAGAGAGAGAGAGAGAGAGAGAGAGAGAGAGATTTTCATACTTAGGGATGAACTGTGATAATTCCACATCTCCCAGAATCCATAATTTATTAAGTAACTTTTAATAGCCAGATTTTATTTCAATTCTTGAAGTAGGAGGCCAAATACCAAATCTACAGAGTTTAATTTTCAACTGGTGGTCTGGAAGCTCTACTTACAAAAGTCTCTATTAATATCACTAGATATCTAGTCAATAGATAAAGTGTTTTTGGAAAAGCAGACCATGCAACATATGCCTTTTTTCTGAAGTATCTCGGAATGTTTTAAAATATCAGCTAATCCATTAAACAGTAGATGCGATAGATGAATAGATTCATGCAAAGTAGATAGAAATAAGGGAAACTTAGTCATAAATAATGCAAGTTTCACCGATTTCTAGCTCATATATTGTGCAGGCATGATGTATTCTAACTGCAGTACAGTAGAGGAATGGGAAACTAAGCAAAAAAATAAAAATATAAGAACTATTTAAAAAGCTATTAAACGATAACTGGTTAGATTACCTTGACTTACCTGAGCAAAATATAGTTTAATTTCCTTTCCAAGAAATTCTGTCTTGTGTAACCGAATTTTAACCTCAGCTGCTGATAAAGGATTGCTGAAGTTCAGCCTTATTCGTTTAAAACTCTTGAAATAATGAAAGGTGACATCCTTGTCATATGTTCTAAACAGAGCTTCAAATCTGCCCTGAAAAATAAACATGTGAACAGTTAACAAGAATATAGCATTCCTGCCTATCATTTATTGATCCATAAACAAAGCCAGAAGTATTTCAAGACAGTTTCACTTTCTGAATTAAGTACAATTCATAAAAAATGCAACTATAAACCAAAACACAAGCACATTTTCTGTGTACCTGGGCTCCTATGCCTTTCAAATTTTGAGTATAGCTACCAAGACCTTGCCCAGTTGTTGTTACTGAATTATAATTTTTAATCCAATTGTAAGAGAAAATGGTTAATAATTACATTTATTCATCTGCATTGTACGTTAATTAAATATACATGCAGATAAGAACAAATTTAGTGATCTAGTTCTCTCTCTCATTGTCAACATCTCTTGCAGAACCTAACAGAAAACTTCCTCTGTCTTCTTCTATACCAGTGGTGGCGAACCTATGGCACGGGTGCCAGAGGCGGCACTCAGAGCCCTCTCTGTGGGCACGCGCGCCATTGCCCCAGTCCTAGGCCTTCAGCTGGGTTTTATAAAACCTTTTCGCTTTAGGCCTCCGCCGCCGTGTGCAAAAAAAAAAGTTTCAATCAGTCAATTTCAACTTCTCGCAGGGAAAAAAAAAGATCTTGCAAAGTTGGAATTGGTTGATTGAACTTTTTAGTCCCACCCAGTCTGCCGTTACCACCATAGCCACGTCCACCCAATGGGCCACGCCCATCCAATGGGCCACACCCACCCAATGGGCCACACCCACCCAGCACTCGACGATGCATAAGTGGGTTTTGGGTTGCAGTTTGGACACTCAGTCTCTAAAAGGTTCGCCATCACTGTTCTATACTTTATTTCCCAAATGCCTATGTGTCAGTTCGCAAGTGCTCCCAGGAAGGTCAATTCTCTCTCCCCCCCCCCCACCTTCCTGTATGCCTGGTAGCATTAGCATCCACCCCCATCACAAATTCCCCTTGTTATGTATATTACTGCAACGAAGAGCCATATTCTCAGGACAGATTTAGTTTGGGGCTGCAAAGAAAAAGAAAATGTTATAGTACAATCCTCTGGGTGGGGCAACTGAGGAGCAGCTCAAAATGCAGCGACTGCCCCATTCTAAGTTCCCCACCCTCCCTTCTGGTTGCATGACTCAGAGCATATACTCCCTGTTCTGTGGTTGTCAATGCATACATAGGCAAAAACGTAGCAGACCCAACACAGCAAGAAAGCAGAAACACATATGGATACAATACAATGGAGTATAAAAAGAAGAAAAAGTGCTTCTTTCTGCCATTGCTGGCAAAGGGGCTAGAAAGAATCCCAAGAAGCCATGTTCTGCATGATTTCCCTACTTTGTTTTCTCTTAAGAACATTTGTGATCAGTACTAAACTACACACACCTCTATTTTTTTAACTAGGTAAAAGCATCCTTCATTTCTATATAGAAATAGAGGCCCCCAGAGGCAGGTTTCCATTCTAATTATACATGAACATCAACAGAGTATGGGCTACAACACACAAACTTAACCAGAATGCGGAGAAGAGATTGAAAATTGCCTAAAGACACTCCTTTCCTTGTAAACCAGTGACTATTTACAACTAGTGCATAACGTATCTTTCTTTCTTTGTTTTTAAACTGCTACAGTTGCAGGGTAAGGAAAAGATCAAATTCAGAATCACTGAGGCTATATGCTTATTCCATAACTTAGCAACGATAACAAAAATCTCCCAACAAGCTACTGAATTGAAAAAAGGGAACAATAAGGCAGCATATATACTGGTGTTATTAAATATCATTGCTATCAACACTATTTTTCAATGTCGTTTGGAAGATTATCTATTGGGCAGGGCTGCAAATTTTACTTATATCATCCATTCAAATGACAGTTATTTCAAAAACAGTAACTAAAATGTAAAATTTAACTATGAGCTACATTGTTAGCCATATAAGTAGCCGTTAGCATTATAATATATAAAAGAAAACTAAAGCTATACTGAATGTATTACTGACATAGAGTTTAACAGATCTATGAAAAATGTTTAACAAGATATATTTCTATTTCACCAACGTCCTGTGCCAGGAAAATCAGCATCAGCTAGAGAGGTAACTAACTGCTTCTTATAAATTCAGAACATCTAACTCACTCTTTGTCTTTCCTAGTCATACCTGGAATGAAAATTATATACTACTTTACTGTCCCTCTTCTTTCTTGCTGTGTAGCTATAGACAGATCCATAGGCTGGGCCTGCCAAGAAGATGGTAATGCTGTTTTGGTCTATCAACAACTCTAGAGAAACTATACAGCATATCACAATCATATGTTCTAATATAAGAAATATGCAAAACTAAGGTGACGATGCAGGATACAACTAGATATAGTTTAATGAGGATATTGGGTGCTTCATTGGCTGAAGTGAAGTCTGCATTTAAAAGAACTTCATGAATACAACAGTTGCTGGCCCCCAATAATATAACTTTTACTGTCTGCTTTCATGTACATAAATCTGCCAACAACTGCCTTTCCTACTGAGGCACTGCTATTGGAATATGCCATTAGAAATGTCAAGCACATATTCAACCCACAATTAATAAAAACAGATGCTATCTTCCACTAGGAGTGGAATTTAGAAGGAGACAGTGTTTTTATATCTTCCTTTTTATTCACCACCAGAAGCAAAATATAATAATCTTACTTTAGCTAATCTGAAAAATTAACTAGTGACTGAATGATTAGGATTTTTAAAATATTACAGTTGATAAAATATTCAAATCAACAAAATTATTAGCATGGAAGAAATGATTTAATTACACCTTAAAATAATATTGTAATTGTTTAGTAATTATTTTATTTCATTTTAGAATTATAATTATTTTAGCATTTATATGAAAATTTGAACATCCTTAAAAAATAAAACGTTCAGGAAAATGTGAGGCTGCTCCTTTATAATACAGTTATTTGGGGCCCAAGAAATGTAGAAATAGATAAAAGGAATGACTGTTCTTTAAAGTTTAAGTCACAATATCCATGTTGTTAACTCCCACCCCAAAATACTCTTGCATCTTATTTTCATCAATAGAACAGAGGAAAAATAAAATTAAAAGACAAATAAAGCATAAAGGAAGATATTGGAAATGAAACAAAATATAACATACATTATGGAAAAATTCGCAACTATAAAAGGTTATAATGTTAACTTAATGAAAATGATGTTTAAATTCCAAAAATTCCTTAGATAAATGTACATTTCTGCTGGACTTTGGAAAGTGGTTGAAGAATTTTTAATATTATTAGGCTACCAATCTATGATGTAATAAGAATATATCCCATGGAATTCAGTGTTGCTTTATCTTAGACAGATATACTGTTAATCTTTAATTCTTCTATTCCAGTTATTTGTACAGTACCAACTAATATTATTGAATTCCCAGCACACTCAGAAGCATTGTGTGCATAACCAACGGAAGCATTAAAGATTTTATCTTTTGTCCAGAAATACTTGACAACTTGCAAATAATAAACAAAATATTTTAAGATTCTTTATGAGCTTGCAATCTAATAACATGAGAAATTTCTAAATCACACAAAAACATCAAAAGCACATCAGCTTCTCTACCTTGAAATGTTAACAATGCATCTGTTATTTTTGACCAAGTCAATGTTCTCAATACACTCACATTTCCCAGTATGCTATATGCCTTTCCCTAAAGCAGTTTTAATGTCAAAAAGTCTTACCCTAATTTCCGGTTGATTGAAAATCTTGTTGTCTGCAACACAAGCAATCAAGGAACCAAAAATGTAATCAAAGTTCCTGAAATGCATTTTTGCTTTCTTGTAAAGACTGCCAGGAGGAGCTCAGCACAAGACCAAGAAAAACACTTTTTGAAGAAGCAGTTCAGTACTGGAAAGACAGCTTATAAAAGAGACTGAAGTCCAGCCCCTCGGCAAGAACAAAAAAAACCCAACACCCCAAGTTTTAGAGCATCCCGTATGTGACAGCAAATTCCTGAGCAAAGTTCTGCCACATAGTTTCAGGCTGTCAGGGATAAAATGTAAGCTTCAGCTGGAAAGAGGTGACGTAAGCATTTTAGTCAGTTTCCCTATGCTAATTAACTTTGCTCTGGAGTATGGAAAAAACAGCCGAGGTTTTCATAGGCAGCTGCTTTATCAACTCCTCTTGCAGCATAGTTTCCATTACTAGTAACTCCATTTAGCACTCAGACAACATACTCTTCACTTGAATAGGACAACCCACTTTAAGATGGAAAAAGTTACTATCTGAGGACTAAGGTTAGCTGCAATAAACAGTAATTAGCTGGCAGGAAATATTTCAAGACTTTGGAAAACTAAGAACAAATCTTAGTCACTATACAGTCAAAGCCTATATACGTTTACTCAGAATTCAGTCCCACGGGTCTTAATAAAACAAATATAGCACTCCTAAACTTGTATTTTCCATGGCTGAGTTAGTTTTAAAATGAATTCTAGAAAAAACAAATCCCTTCAAGTGTATGCTGCCTTTTTTGTGGCTAAGAGCCTCATTTCTCTCTTTTAAGTTACTGGCCTTATCAGGGCTTTTTTTCTCGGAGAAAAGGTGGCGGAACTCAAACCTGGCCACGCCCTCATCAAACCCTAGGACCGCCCCTTTAGAGAACAGGAATGCAAGTAAAATTTGGGAGGGGCTATTTCCGGTGTGGGAGGGGCTATTTCCGGTGCGGCCGGCCCGGAAAAAGGTGCCGGAACGCGGTTCCGCCGCGTTCCG